TTTATGTTTCGCCCAGCCTCTGTGGTTTGGCTTCAGTAATTCTCTAAGGTATCGATCGAATAGGCGCTCCCCCCCCCCCCCCCCCCCTCCCCGCACTTATTAATTTCCAGTTTTATCACTCATCAAGACCCGTACAATAAAATATAATGAAAGGCTATAATAACTGCATTTATTTATATATATAACACAGCTCTGAAGCATGCCCTATGCACTTTACAGTAATTGTAATTACAAGCCCTTTGCAACCCAAAGAACAATCTGGGCTACCCAGGAAGCTTTAATTATTTAATTATTTATTATAAATCCTTTTATTGTACGGTAGCACATAAACCAAGCTCTACAGCATTCTCTATGCGCTGTACAACTACTACTTCTACCCAAACAGACCGCAAAACACCCAGAAACATTCTCGGCTTCCCGGGAAGCATACAATACAATTTGCATATTGCACGCGTTCAAACTCTAGCAAGCTGACAAGATATTTGGCCGTTATAGCCGGGTATCCATTCCCACCTGGGATAAGTCAGGAAATGTCCGTGTGAAGCACAGGTAGAATTCTGTGGTGTGAAGAGCCTTTCCTAAGGACACAACGTTGGATCCCTGACCTTACGAACCCACGACCTTACTGTTGCGAGTCCCAGAGTCTAGCCACAAGGTCACCGACGCCACAGTCAGTGTGCAAGCTGTCATTTTACAGGCTCTGAAACATTAACATAATAATATCGACATGATATTTCGCTGTCTATGGCTGGATACACAGTAACACAATACAGGTGTTCACATACAGTGCAAGCTGACATTATTATTACTTTTTACATGTGCTAAAACACTGACCATACTTTATGCGCTAAAACATTGACAAACTGAGAAGATCTCTAGCTGTCTAGATGGCTGGACGCGTTCATTCCCACCTGGACGAAGTGATGAAAATTTGTGTGAAGTTCATTCCCAACGGGCGCCCCTTTCAACACTATCTGTCCCCGCGGTTTTATTTTTTTTTAAAGTCTGAAATTATGTAAACTGAACCTAAAAATGTGAAATTATGCGACCCTGCTAATTTTAACAAAGAAAGATAAAGGAAAATAATCAGAAATTATGCAAAAAATGATCAAATTTTGCTAAATAATATGTGGGGTGCATAAAAACCCTGGGACAGCATTATACTTTAGTTATTTAAGTGGGACCTCCCATTTTAGTTTAGTTTTAGTACATGTAGAGGTTTTACAGCACTGGCAACTGCATTAGGTCATTGGAGCGTCAGGAGATTAGAAGTGTTACAAGAGAGCAACAAACATTAAAAAGAAGAAGGGGGGATAAGGACGATAGATGTTTGATAGGAAAGAAGAAGCAAACCACATCAGAGCACCCGCCAACCACCCACAGGACCTCCGAGTTTAACCTCCATCTTCGAAAGGACCGTGCCAAATAGAAGACCCGTGTAAAGTGCCTTTCTCAAGGACACAAGGTCTGACCAAACTGAGCCTCAAACCTCCGAATCCGCATCCTAACAATTACAGGCGTAGTAGCTTAACCAGCAGGCTACCGATACATTGTAGGCCTACATGTACCACACTTAAATGAGCTTAAGTTTTTACTGGCTTTTATGTGCCTCTTCAAAGCAATTAGTATTTTTAAAAATTAATGTAAATTACGCTTTTATTGAGTTTTAGGCTATGCCCCCGTCAACCCATTAAACATCATTTAAAAGGCTTGCTTCAACCCTATCTGTCAGAGACAACCTGGGCTGAGAAGGATACAGCATCCGAGCAGAAAGACAGAGATGTATGTATTATGGCTTCACCTTTATTTTAGTTTTCTTATCATCTAGATCAGTGTAATTTTAGTAAAACTAATAATTGATAGCCTACAAAAATGGCAAGTGAGAGCGAGAGAGAGAGAGAGAGAGAGAGAGAGAGAGAGAGAGAGAGAGAGAGAGAGAGAGAGAGAGAGAGAGATAGAGAGAGAGAGAGAGAGAGAGAGAGAAAGAGAGAGAGAGAAAGAGAGAGAGAGAGAGAGAGAGAGAGAGAGAGAGAGAGAGAGAGAGAGAGAGAGAGAGAGAGAGAGAGACGGGGGGTAGCCTAAATTCTGACAGACAGACAGACAGTGTGAGGGGTGGGGGGTTCAAAGGATAACTTTTGAAACAACAAGTTCTAAAAGGGTTATTTAGATTAGCTAATTAACTTAGATTATTATAAGGATTTATGTTCCGGATACCCGTCACATTTCGGCCAGGTTGGTTTTCTTTAATTAAAAGTTCCATGAGGAGCGCAGAAAAAAAGGGAAACAGTTTAATAGGCCTACATCTGGGCAAGTGGACCCTCACTGTAGGGAAAATGTCGTTCACATAACCCAGAAATCTAACAAAATCTGTAAGCCATGTATATGTAGCCTACGGAGAACAGTGCTTGACATAATTTCGTCCTAACTTACAACATCAACACACCAGACACCACGCATTTATGGAGGCTTAGTTAAGAAGTACGCACTCGTAGCCTATCTTAAATTGCTGTGTCATGCACGGTCATATCTTATGCCTCGACTAGGCTATTCCCCAAAAAATATTTTTTGAAAAGAACACGTGAGCATTCAACCACCCGTTCCGTTTATAATTAACAAAGGTTTTTTTTTCTTGGCAGTGATCGTGAGTTATAGGTTACTCATGACGAGGGAGTGGGGGGGGGGGATATCATATCTTAATCATAATTTAATCCGAATGCTTCTTTGTTGATCCTCATTAACTGTTCTTTTGTCAGTAAAACAGACAGGGTTTTAATTTGTTGGTTAATATAATAACAATGTGTATAACAGGCGCTTTTGGGGCGGGGGGAGAATAGCCCTTCAAAACACAAATACATTGGATATTTTTGCTATTGATTCCTTTTCTAAAATACATTATCAGTACCCCCATTAAGTAAAACAATTGTCAAGCTATAGATCTAGTCTGTTTGCAAAACGTTCGGAGAATCGGGTAGCCCCCTTGTTATGAAACCCACCAACCGTTCAATATTATTTTTATTTGGGGTCGCTTGTCCCAGTTTTGTTTTGGCTTTTCTTTCCCAGTGCCTGGTGTCCTAGTGTGCTTGGGTTTGTTTACACAAAGATATTATACAAAAGGGTTAGCTCGCTTACTTATTGGTTTGAAAGCAGCGCTTGCGCGGAAGTGCTGTTGGCCGAAACTTGGTAGTCAAACCGAAATCGAAATCACGTATTAGGCCTATATTGAATCTTGTCACATAATTTATTACTTATAAGGTAGATGGAAATACATGTCATTCTAATTACTATAATGTTCAGGATCATCATCATTATCATCATCCAGTGCCAGATCTGCGACAGACATCGGTGATCATGGTTCTCCATTTATTCCTTTGCTCGGATGCTCTTTAAAAAAAAAGCCACGTTTCCTTTATCTTTCCCCGTTATCCATTAGTTTAGGTTCCCCATGTATATTGTTCTGGGCATTCCCCTGCCTCGCTTGCCCCCAATTTTGCCAGGGAGAGCTAGATGTTCAAGACCCTTATGTCTATTTATGTGTCCCAAAAACTGCATTTGCGTTTCCTGATTGTTTTTAACGTTGAGCGTCCCACGTGGGCTTCATCAAGCACTATACCTCATTTGATTTCTTTTCCTTCCACGATACTCTTAGCAGTCTCCTAAGAAACCACATTTCTGTTGCTTCTGTTTTATTTTCACTGCCTTTAGTGATTGTCCAGCGTTCACGGCAATATATAGAAGGGTTGACCAAACAGCATTTCAGAACTTTCATTTTGGTGTTCATTGAGATGTTTCTATTTTTCAGGATTGGGCTCATTTTATTGAAACTGCCATTGTAATTCTCCGTCTTATTTCTGTTGAACATTTGGTATCAGATGTTATCATATATCCTAGATGTAGGACTTGTTTGATCTTTTCACCTTTGCTAATGAGATTACAAGGCTTTGCTGTTGTTGTTGGGTTTTTTTTATACTACCATGCATTATTTTTTCTTTACATTCAACACTAATCCTTTACGTTCACTTTCTGTTACAACAGTATCTAGAAGCAATTGAAGGTCCTTTTCTGAGCCTGCTATCAAAACTGTAGTGCCATCTGCATACCTGATGTTATTAATCTTTTCTCCATTTACTTTGAGACCTGGACATTCTTCTATGTTTCTAAGGATTGTTTCACTGTACATGTTAAAGAGCAGGTCTGGTGACATAACACATCCTTGCCTCACTCCTCGCCTAATCTGCTTATACATGTATTCACTGTATTCTCCATTTATTCGTACAGCAACGTTTTGGCCCCTGTACAAATTCCAGATAATTCTTAGATCGTTTCCATCTATGTCTAGCTGTTCCAGTATTTTAAATAGCTCTTCGTGTTTAACATAAATTTATCGAAGGCCTTTGAATAATATAATAATAGGAAGCATACAGATCTTTCGACTGTCACGTGCTTCAATACATCTTTCCATTAACATTGTTAAGGTGAATAATATAGTATTTCTGGTGCCCTTGTCAGGAACAAAGCCGAATTGCGTTTTAGATATCTCTGGTCCTACACTTTTTCTCAATCTTCCATTTGTTACTCGCAGCAATATTTTTGTAAAATGACTCATATAAGGCTAATTGTTCTATGCATATCACACCCAATGGCATCAGGATCGTTGTATGCTATTTCGTCTATAAGTTAGTTAAGTACAAGCTCAAAACGCAATAAAACAGTTATGTACTCGATCATCTGACTTGCCTTGAGAGATTGTCACTCTTTTCAGGCTTGGAATCACCGCCCCAAAAGTGGTAACATCCTTCTCTCCGCCTGTTGTGTTATATCGTCGGTCAAGCTCTTGGTCTATGGTCTATGGTACACGAAGAAACTACCCGTCCGCTGCCAGATCTACCCCCATGAAATTATTGTCCAGTCCGAATTGTGCCGAATGAGTGAGAAAGACAGTTTGCGACTTTTTGTGAGTTACTCCATCGAAGAGTCAGAATTCAGGCCTGTTCTACATTCTATCACAATAATATTTAGCCTAGAGTTCTTTGACTCAACAGAGGTTTAAATCAAGAATCTTCAAGGAGATTATATAAGAGAATCAAGAAGTCGCTGACAACACATTATGCAGCCCAGCTCAGCGTCTCTTTAGTGAGTTTAGTGAATGATCGTCCAGTCGCCCATGCATGACAAATAATGACATAGAAACGAACGCGGCTCATAGATCTATAGGGCCTACCAAAGAGTCTACTTGAATAGCCAAGGCCTAGGAGGAAAAGATCTACTCTGTTGAAAAATGGCTTCATCAACTTTGAAATTTGCCATATTCCTGGGCTCGACCAGAGAAGGAAGACAGGGCCTGCGAGTGGCGAAGTTCATGAAGAATCAGCTGGAAGCGAGGAATTACCAAGTTGAATTGTTTGGTGAGAAAAAGCTTCATTTTGTTAGCCTACTTCTAAGCTTCAATCTTTGTTTAAAAAAACTTTAGCCCAGTCTTAAAGTTAAAGTTGAACTGGCATGGTGGTTGTGTGATCCGGAAACAAGAAAATACAGAGAACAGTGAACAGGGTCTGTCTCCTTGAAAAATTTCCTGTGCTCATTTAACATTGTAGCGGCTAATATTATAATAGTAGATTCAAGTATATTTTGCTTTTAAGCACAGGGGGATCCCGAGAAATACTGCTTTGAAAGAATCGAAGGTAATGTTTTTGCCCCTTGTTCAGTTTTTTTAAAAGATAAGAGTTTTCTGTATAACCAATATATATATATATATATATATATATATATATATATATATATATAAAATATACACACACCCCACTGAAACCAATAAACTTCTCAATAGGTAGGGCAGTGCCCACTTTTGGTATAAGTCAAGATTTCTGGAAATCCCCGAAATCTGGGTTAGCCCGCTTGTCCTTAAAAGTGACCAATGGTGTATAACATAGGTATGGAAAGTATAGCTCAGAATATTACATTCATGAATTACCTTCAATTAAAATAGAAGTCTAATGCCATTTTTCAATTTCAACAATAATAAAATATGATATGACGAGTAATCTCTGCCGTTACAATAAAAAATGATGAACTCTAGGCCTAAAACAAATTATAACTGATGGTCCAAGAGTTGTCCAGTGCATTCTTTATACCAGACTATGAACAGCTGACTCTTTACATTTTTTTTTACAAAACATCTACATCTAATTAATGCCGAGCTAATATTTTTTTTCTGTGTAATTCAACAGGTTTTTTTATGCTGGTATGTTTTGTTTTGTAAACTGGCATTACCTCCTGCTTATTTACTTTTTATAGATAGGTTACATTGTGAAATTTTGGCATGCATATAAATATATATATTCTTTATATATATATTTGAATTTTCTTTTCTTCTAAGTCTTAGTAAGAGTTTTACAGCACTTGCAACACAATAAGGTCATGATATAAGTGATATAAGTACCAAAGATTAAAGGTGTTACAAGAGAGTAACAAACTTAAAAAAGGAGGAGAGATAAAGACGATAGTTGCAGTTTGACAGGAAAGAAGGACCAAACCGCACCAGAGCACCCGCCAACCACCCACATTTGCTTTTAACAGAATATATTATATATGTGGTCTTGTAATAAGATTAAGCGATGTCAATTCATTTCTTTGTATTTTTATTTTTAAAACGTCCAGATCCGCTGGAGCTGAAATTCCCGTTGCTGGAGAAAGCTTTCCACCATTACGAGAACAAATCGGACGCACCGCAGTGGATGCAGGACTGTGACACAAAACTCCGAGCTGCGGACGCTTTTGTTGTGGTCTCAGCAGAGTACAACCACAGCATCCCCCCAGCTTTAGCGAACATGATGGATCATTTTGGTGAAAGTGCATACGCATACAAGCCGAGTGGAATAGTTACTTATGCTTCAGGTAATTTTTTTTTAAAGTTTTAGTAAGTGGTAAACGGCACCTGCAACACAATTAAATTAGGTTAGGTTTAAGTATGGATGATTAGAAATGTCACAATTAAAATTTTAAGAGAATTATAACAAAAACAAAAAAGTCCGAGCAAACACGGAGCACCCGCCAATCACCCACATGTCTCAGATATGACAGGTGCCTGATCAGCTTAACTCTTTCCGGACGTAGTTTTTTTTTAGGTCCAGACAAATAAACTTGTCACTCGATTTGGCTATACAAGTGGTGTACAAAATAACTTTATAGAAGTATAACCATCACTCAAAACGTAACATATGATATATCAAATTGAAGGAAATTGAATGAGGAATACATCCCAATATGAAACAAGGATTAATTTTGAACATAAGTATGCATTACAAGGGTTAGAAATGGCGATGGTGATGAGAAAAATAAATTTTGATGGAAAAAATTACATTCACCAAACATGTGAAAGCAAATCAGCATAGTTATCTTATCATATACGGGCCAAGAGCATAATCCATAAATTTTTGAATGCGCAGCTTTTTTTTTTTAAAGCAATATTTCAAGTCCGGTTACATCGTTTTGTTGATGCAAGACCGCAAGAACTAATTCACTCGTTTTTCCCCAAACCCACGCTTTGACTAAGTGAAACTAGATGTTTTCGCTTCCTAAATCCTTTCCGAGTTTTTCAATAGCCATAAAAAGTAATTATATATGATGGATCGTGTTAAAAAAGAAACAATGCTGAGGCACCCTATCACAGGACTGGTGCTATATATCGGCGATACGTCCGGAAAGAGTTAAGATAAACACTATGCTGGATCGTAGTCTGTTCTTGATCGTTGATTTAAGAAAATAAATTTGATAGTCGTCCACCTCTTTTGCTTTGTTCTGTCATAGTGCAAATAGACGTATAAAAAGATCCTGTCTCAAGTAACTTTGTACTGTGTTGAAAGATGTAAAAGACTATCTTATAGATATATATCAAAGCTATTTGGGGGGGGAAGGGGTGATTATAAGTTGACGCACGATTTAATGCTTAGTGGGCAAATCTATTGCACAAACACTTCTTCATACCGGTACCCTCTTCTCATGAATTCTCTTCTCATGGCTTCAAATTACTTTACATGCAGTCAAAAATTTAAGTGCAATAAAGTAATAATATAAATATTTAGCTGCATTACAATATGAAACAAATGCAGACTTGTAGATCCAATGGATGCCAAAGAGGACATAATTTTTAAAATATCTTATATTTCAAAACTTTATTGTAGGCCTACTACCAAACTTAGAGTTGACATTTGCAAAGTCATGCCTTGAAAATATTTTTATTCAATTATTCCTTTTTTTTCTTTCTTCTACTTGTCAAGGAATCGGTGGTGGTGTGCGAGCAGCCATGCAGCTACGCATTTTCTTGGGAGTACTGGGCTGCCTGAGTGTCTCCGACATCTTTTCCATCCCAAAAGTGCATGAAGCACTGACAGATGAAGGGAAACCCCTCAACGATCATATGATCAGCGGAGCCGGCAAACTTATCACGCAGCTGGAATGGATGGCTGCAGCGATGAAGAACCACAGGGATGCCGTGGGCATTCCCAAGTAGATATTATAGTTATTTTATTTCATTTTGTTAAAGGTAGATGTAAATGTACTAAATGTACTGTACAACACGGATAGTTCGAATTTGTCGAGACTGCCCTCAGAAGTTCGAGGAATCCGTTGTTCGAGGAATCCGTTGTTCGAGAGGTTTCTTACAAAGATAAAGAAGAAGAAAAAAGGGGGCCACAGGTACAGTTCGACGGATACGTGATTTCGAGTCTTCTGTTTTCGACCTATCCGTGGTATACTGTATATGACTTACTTGTCGTGTATTATTGTACGTTGATTATATCATCATTGTTAGGGATATATCTTAATTTATAAATAGTTGTTACTGCTTCAATGCTGGTGAATTTATTTTATATGTTTTCCCCTTCAGTAGTTTGTCAGTACAAAAACTTGTTTATTTATTCAAAGATTACATGTTTGTGTCTGTTTGTAGGAGGACCACTTAAGTACTGTTTCATGTAATGATCTGTGAACATTCTTTTGTGTGATGTACACATTTTTACCATGGGTGAACTTGGCCAGTGTGAGTGTGATTATCCATATCTGACGTGCCTTGAACCAGGGGGAAAAATGGTCAACAATCTCTTTAAACATGCATTCTCTGTGCCCAAACTACTGAAACCAAACCTGATTTGTTAAAATATTTGAGGGAAGGGAAATACAAGAGTACATATGTACCATAAATAAAAACAGTAATCTAATTCTTCTTTGGACGGCACTCAATTTACCCATACCAACTTCTGTTAATCTATTCTAGACCTAGCTGCCTATCTCTTCTTTTGGGGCCTTCAAGGCACTGAAATCAAACCAGTCACTTTTGATGTGTAGGTCCAGTGTCTATTTTTTACATTCTCATCGCTTATGCCCCAAACAAAACAAAAAACATGGCTGTAACACTTTTACCAGCACAAAAATCACCATTGCACAGCTGTTTTTGTAGGTTTAAAAAAAATGTTTCCTCTCTTCACCTTACTTCATTTTATGTAGTGTCTCAATATTTAATGACTACTTTCTTGTGACTAAGAGTAAAGAAAATATATTTTTATATCATAAATGAAATCTTATTTCATTTTGAAAACATGAATAAGATCTGGTTTTTATCAATCCAGAATAAGATCTGGTCTTCTATAGTAATACCCACAATGTCGATTTACAAAGACTGGCGTGGCCAGCGCACGGGCTATATTACATATAATATAATGTATGAAGGCAGGGTGAAATGAGCTAGAAATCTAACTAAAAGCACTGCTCTATAATGCGATTAATATCATTAATGTTTTTCTCGGAAACAAAATGTCCAACTTATATGTTTTACCTTACTCCTTACACATCGGAGTCACAGCTGGGGAGAGGAATGTGCAAATTACTGGCTGTGACTCAACAGAACCTTCTCTGTCTTTCCAGTTTTGTCGCTTTGCTCACTTTACAATGTGATGAAATCATGACATCTGATTTTTATAAATTTAGAAAAACAATAGGGGGCTCTCATGGCCTAGAGGTTAAGGTGTTCGCCTCTCATTCAAAGGTCTCGGGTTCGAATCCCAGTAGCAACTGAAAAATTTTCTTCTCTAAAATTGTCTACTTTCCCCTCCTTTCCTGCTCTCAAGCAATGTTCTTTTGTCTGCTTTCGTCTCCACTTTCTACCCCCACCCCATTTGCCCCCTCCTCTGGGCTCCTGACTCTTTCTGCAGCTTTTCTACTGCTACTCATTGGCTTCTTACTGATGACTTTCAGCCACACCCCTGATCTTCTGGTAGGAAAGATCTGCACCATGCCTTCTCAGACAAGGGCGAAAAATCCCAGAGGTCCCATGTGCAAGGTACGCACATTAAAGATCCCTTGTTGGTCTAAAATCGATAAGAGTAGGCTTCGGCCGCCACTCAGGCAAAAATTTATTTTTTTTTACGAACTGAAAATGTTTAATGTGTCCCGCGCGCTCATATGACCATAATAATGTAGTTGCAAGCGCTGTAAAACACTTACCAAAAGAAAGAAAAGAAAAACAATCTTCAACTATGCTACACCCACAGTCTTATGTAACAGGTGCCTTATGATGCCTTAGGATGTAGTCTTCTATGTCAGTTTTGTAAATGTATTATATATCTTTCTACTGTGTTAAGATTTGTTCATGATGATGGTATTCTTGTTTTTGTGGCAGTGTTGAACATTGTGTTGATATTATGACTGTCAGTGATATAAGTGATATATTTTTTGTTGTTGATTTGGTGAAAACTGAAACCCTTTTGTCAAGTTTTAACCTGATCTGCTCTTTACATCTGCTATTAATTCTCTTTGTAATTTACTCAACTTTGTAAAGCAGGGTGATATGGGTTTACTCAGGTTGCTTGTGACGACATACTGATACAAATTTATGGAGACGTACGGTCATTTCATATGTAGGTACTTACAATCTTGTAACCTTGTAAGGCTACCTAACTTGTAGTCATGAGATTGCGGGTTGGGAGGTCGAGCCTCAGCTCTGTCCGACGTTGTGTCCTTTGGAAAAGCACTTTACATGAATTTCCCACTTGGCTCGGTCCTTTCGGAGATGGATGTTAAACATGGAGGTCCCGCCTCTTAATAACCTAACAGTGTTGACAGAGGCATTAAACCTTTACAATTTCATAACCATGTAGCTTAGTCCTGTGTTATACAAGATTCTGTTGGTGCTTTCAACGGATTTCAACAATAATCAGATACATTTTACCTGTGTCTGTGGTCAAATGGGCATTCTCTTATCCCTCTAGACCTGCTGGGGCAAGCCACAGCTGGAGACAAAAATATAATTTTATCGACAGTATGCTTTTAATTCATGACTCACGTCACCCAGTACTAGGAATATAGTTTCTAAAGGAAAAGGAAAAGCTTTATAGAGTTTACTTCAACGCAAAAGGAACAAAATAATTTCAACAACACCCATTGCACAGTTGGGTAATAATACCAGTGTCTGTGATGTAGTGGAAAGGCGGTTTGCCATCACACGCAGAAAGAGAATTTTATCTTGTAGTAGGCATATCTCGCCGTCTTTCTGCTGAGACATTTTTCCCTCTCAGTGTCTCAGTCCTGGTTGGCCCCAACAGGCATGGATGAAGCCCACCTCCTAAATGAACTAAATTATGTCAATGAGGGTGTAAAATGCCTACACTAAAAAAAGGTTTTTAAAATTGTGGTTCAAGACCAGTCACTATGGTGGAGCTTATCATAAATTAGATGGAAAAGCATTAGAAAGTGAAGGGTTAGAGTCATATTGTGTAATGACCTTCTGATACAGCTCTTACTATACATGGCACTAACTACGGCAGTGTGTTCCTGAATACTTTGATTCTTATTCACAATGAATACACAGAAATTTGTGCTTGTATTTTTTCATTCATTGAAAGATATTAGATAATACGCAATCAAATTCATTTGTTTGAATACTTTTACTGAATCTCATCTTGGGCAATGACTTTATTTATCAAGACATGGTGGAATCAGGCGCTCGTCAAGTTTTGTGCATATAGGGTTATTGGAATCATCATAAAACTTGTTGATTTGTCTTGGTTTAGGTGAAAAAATACGTACCCCTCCGTCTTGTCAAGATATTTGAAGTGGGTGGGGTCGGCTGTTGTCAGAGGTAAAATTAGGGAGAAAATGGCCACCAAAGTTATGTGACTTCCAAAGTTTGAGGGCCCTTAAAACCTGCAAATTGACATTTCTTGTAGCTTTGATCAATGTTTTTCAGTTAAATCCACTCAAAAATGTGTTTTTAACTTAACATAAAAAATGTTGAGGAAAAAAAAGGAAAATTTGAAAAGAATTGCCCAACAGGCAGAAAGATTTGTTTCATTATTCTAGCGTTTGTCGCTCGATTTTTGGCATTTTTTGGTCCGCGAATCGCGGCCGCAATTTTTGCATTTTTCAAAAAAGACAAAAAACCAACTACTTCATAACATACTGGACATGTATTTTGATAAGTTTTAAGATGTCCCTGTGTATCTATTTTCATGCGGAGAATATAAGTACCTTACATACTATTTGTATTGCTGTCTGTCTTTTATTTTTCCCTCTTTGTTTTGTTTTAATTTGTTGGTGTGTTAATTTTTCAAAAAATTGTTCTGATGATTTGTTTTTCTTTTTTTTGTGTTTATACAGCGTAATGTCATTTAATTTAATGCTATTCCTACCCTTTTAAAATAAAAATGTGTTACGTTAGAGCGTGTACTGAAAAAAACGGACTAAAAAATGCCAAAAACGACAGACACAGATGCTAGAATAATGAAACAAATCTTTCTGCACGTTGGGCAATTCTTTTCGAATTGTCCTTTTTTATTTCTCAACATTTTTTATGTTAACCGAATACTGACACTGGCACGCCCCAATTGTGTGTGATTCCATAATTTACTTGCAATATCCTGTACGCCTACTTTTTCTTGAATTACACACGTTTAGGGTTAAAACAGCCTATCTTCGGAAAGGTGGACACACGCCTTTATTTGTTGATTTTTGTGGTTATTTATCCGTGTTTTTCTAATTTTGATTTCCTTCTATTGTGAAATATTTATTTTTCACATTTTTACCCTGTGGGTGACTACAAATGATAAACTGGATGCTTAAAACAGAGCACAATAGATTCTGGTGCTTTAGATTGTTACCTCTAGATCTATCAGCATATATTGCTATATTCGTCGTCACAGAGAGTTGAAAGGTTGAAAATTAATGGCAACTTTTTTGGCAACTCTTTTGGCAACTTTTGCCACGTTTTGTGGCAATTTGTGGAAAAAAAATGGCAACAAACGCAGATGCTAGATTATTTCGATGAGCTCCTGATTTCACCATGATGCCTCTCATATTTTCTCTTATGTTCTCATGGTGCTTTTGTCATGATAGTGATAGTGGCGTTCACATAAATGATCTCGCATCGGATACATATAGTTCTGATTATTCATGAAATAAAGCATGTACATCTCAGGTTTTATCAACTGAGAATTACATTAATAAAATGCTTAGTGATCTTTTCAAAGTGCAGGCCGGAATATAACTTTGTTATCTGCAGGAAACCGGAACCTAAAAAACTTCCCAATGTTTTCATTATAATTATAATGAGGATGCAATAAGTTTTGGACAACAGGTGCTGTTTTTCTAATTTCTGAGGAAAAGCTTTATGTTTTACTGCTTTTTCTTTGGTTTATGCAAAAGAACATTTTTGTAAATCATGTCTTGCATCAGGCAGCCTACTTCTGGACCAATATAGATTATAACCGCATGTAAATCAGATTTAATGACATGGGGGGGTTGTTGTTTTTGTAAAAGACTTGTCAAAGTACTCTACTGATGTAAAGTCTTATAACTTAAGTAAAAATCTATAGTGTTATTTCTATCTTCATCATTATCATTATTGTCACAGTCAAATTATGTCATAACATGCATCCAACCCCTGTTTGCTTTGTGTAAAGTTTCCCCTGTATGTATAATGTAAGTATTCCTACCTCATTCATCAGGGTACTCTGAGTCTCCTTTTTGTTCTGTCTCCCAATACATTGTTTGTCATCTGTCTTTTTTTATCTTTTAGTTTTCTTTATTCTTGCCTGTCCAGGGGTTTTTTTTTTATGCATTGTCGGCCTCAGATATTATGTTACAACTAGCTGTTTCCTAATCTTGTACACTTAATGTATTGTTTTAGGTCACATTTTTCAAACATTCTATTAAAGTCCTCTGATAAAAGTGTAATTGTGGATGGTTGGAGGGTGCTGCTGGTCAGTCCTGATTTTTTCTTTCACTCTTTGCTTTTGTCTATCTTGATTTATCATCCCTGCACTGAATGATAGTGATAGTTATCGGATCGATGTACGTCGCTTGGCTCGAACAAAAAAATCTTTCATGGGGTTATCAGTAAAATGGTGTTAAGTACACAAATTGAGGCCAGAAGGGATGAGTTGGAGAATGGTAGGCACACCTTGAGCTCAGTTGATATCATGCTTGATGT